CTTCCCTTCCCTTTCCGTTTCTCCTCCGCACCCATCCCTCGTCCACTCTTCCTTCTATTCAAACGTATTACGGCATCGCTGGCTCTCGCGCTCGCGCGCGCCGTTTCTGGTCCGGAGGATGAACCAGAGCTAGTTATGCAAGTCGAAAACTCTCTCAGGGACGCAGCAAGGTCGTCGAAACGACCCGGACGACGATAATATCCGACCTGACCCCTTCCGACCGAGGTAGAGTATTTCCCGAGGACCTGCTCGAAAGTCACCACCTCGTTCCGCCTGGCGAATGACCCTGTTGTCGCACCGGCGCGCGTTCCTCTTTGCTTTTTCGCTCGGGAACCCCCCTTGAGAAAAGGGGATGACGACGAGGTACGCGTTTCCCGTATGCTCCATTCTTACGCCTCTCGAGTAGAACAGGCGTGATAGATGGCCAGAGGGGAGCAGACGAACCGCGACCTACGAAACGAACCAGCCGGAGTAGCGAAAGCGTCGAATTAGCTACCGTTGGTTTCTTCTTTCGTTCCTTTTTCCCTTGCCTCCGCTCTTCTACCCGTTCTTCGCGGCGCTGGACGCGCGGTGATCCGTTGGAATGGCGAGCGGAGGGAATACATGCAAAGTAATAACCGGATTTTAGCGAATGAATTAGAAGCAGGTGGCTAATCGGTGGCCGGCTCGGCCGATGTTTCCAGCTTTCGCGGGCAGATCGCGGTGCGGCGATAAGAAGAGAAAGGAAAACGAGTAAGCGGAATAAAATCCGGGCCAGACAGGAGAGGAAGAACTCGTCGGACGGAGAGCGTGGTACCCGTAAGGATGAACGGGAACGAGTGGAGTGACCTCGGGGATAAGTTTTCGACGATATCTCTGTTTCTCCGGGGCGGAAAGCTGCGATGCCCGCGGTGGTCGGGGGAACGCGGAAATGCATCGGTTGGCCGAGAGAGTAAGTGGCGAACGGTATATAGGCGGCCGTTGATTGAACGTCGACTTAATTAAAAGTCGACCTCGCCCCTGGCGCATTCGTCGTTTCATCGCCGATTAGTTGCTCGCTTTTGTCTACCGAGCCGAGGCAACTTTGCCCTACCGATTATCAACGCCGCCAACCAAATTTCACGCGTGCTTTTTCGCTACTCGTTCCGAACGGACGCGTCGAACGGGACAGCCTCGTTTATCCGCGATGGAGACTCGAGGGACACGATGGACGTTCCGCGTACGCGGAACGACGGAATATCGCGACGAAGATATAGACGCGCATCCCCGATGATCGATTCGCGTGTGCGACGGAGACGCGGACGGTGCACCGGCTGGGATAGCATTAAGCCTGCTACTCGTTCTCCTCGCTCGGAAATTTATCCGACCGTTAAATTTATTACCGCGAACCAATTACAACGTATGCGCGTATATAGCGTGTATGGGACCGGGACGCGTTACGTGATCGATAATTCACCGGTTATTCGTTATCGAGCGAATAAATTTGCCGGGAAACGAAAAAGAAAGGTGGGAAAAAAGCCGTCCCCCGATGTTTCTAGTTAGCCGATCCACCGACGATCGTCCTGCCGTGTATCGTCGTCTGGCTGGAATCGGGACTGCGAGCGCTCGCGCGATATCTCGCTGATTGGTAGTCGGTCTAATTAAAAGTGTACCTCCGGAGCTCCGCGCTCTGTCCTCGTTTGCACTCGGTTCGCCTACCGGAGCCGTTTGAACCGTTAAAAGTGGTCACGGTACTCCGGTTGCTCTATCGAGCCACTAATGACATAATCGGAATGCCTTAGGCACCTATAAATTAGCTATGCCCGCTCCGTGGATTACCCTTTTCACCGGCTCGGAAAGCTTCGCGAGCTCGTCTACCGCGCGCGCGCGTGATCCACAAAATCCGTTAATACCTGTACCGGGTGGTTAGCTCCCCGCTGCTTTATCGAATAATCACGAGGAATAGCAACCGCGTGGCGTGTCGCATACGGTGTCCGACTAGTCGCGACTGTGAGAACGAATCCTGGCTACACGGTGCTCGTGCGGCAGGGGCTAGCGGCGAGGAATAGGGCGAACTCGTCCCGTCGATCGGGTGAAAAGGCTAAGAAAGTAAAGGAGGAAGGGAAACGGGGAGGGAAACGGGAAGGTAAACGAAAGAGCCGGCGCGTGGAATTATCGCGAGATAGCCGAGCGAGGAAGAACGCGAGTCGCGGCGCGTCGTAAACGCCAACCGGGAGATATTTCCGGCGAGGGGAAAGGTTCGCGAATCGATCATATATCACGGGGTAACAGCGAATCGACCGGGTAATATATCGGAACGATTTCAGGAAATCTAGCCGTGCCGTGAAGCCGTAATAATTATTCGGCGGGACAGCGAATTCGTGGCCCATTACGCGGAGGCCAATAACGCGGCGAATTTGCCTCGAGTTTTGGAGAGGATAAAAAGTTTTATGCCAATTCGCCCCCGGTAGCCGACGGACCGATATCACGACCCGTTTCCACGTAACCGAGCGTGCATTCGTGCCGGACACGAATACGAATTAATGAACGATTAACCCGTCAACCGCTGCTTAAACGAGTAACAGCTAACGAAATAAACCGAGCGTCGAAATGGAGGAGAATGGCGTCCGTTGGAAATAACGGATAAGCTCGTGTACCGGGAGGTAGCCAGAAAATTTCCCAGGGTTTCGGCGTCCTCTCCTCTTCCTCTGCTCACGCGCACATACGCCAACACCCTTTCCGCGTCGGCATGCAACAGCATCGGGCGCGTGGTCGGAGAACCGATAAGTCGACTTATCGTCGATCGCATCGATCGAACGGCGTAACGACGAATTTCCGTGGAAGGGAAGAGATGATTAAAAAAGTCGGGGAAGAAGGAGGCAAGGAAGGAGAGATGATTGGTGGAGAGTGAGAAGAGAGGCGCGGATCCTATCGGAAAGTAATTACCAGGCCGGTCGTGCGGTCGTAATTAATCAAATTCCGCGTAGGGATGACGCGACGAAAACGAATCGGCCTGAGGCCAGGAGAATCCATTAGCGAAACACGCGTGTCTCGCGCGTATTATTTCACGCAGCTACGCGCTGCGAGAGGCGAACACCACCGAACGAGCAAACGAACCAACGAATCAACCACCGACCAACCAACGACCTATCGAACGCGTAGTTGCCGCTGCATTAGCCCGACATTAGCTTCCACGTGACGCACGATCCTTCGATCTTGCACCTTACCCGGCTAATTGTGCGAGCCACTCTCCCGTTCAGGAGGAGAGCCGTGACGGATCGACGGGTCAATCGAGGTCGTCACTCGGCCCATCTCACCGACTGCCTCCTTCGCCGGCAATCTACGCTCGCGCGCCTTCCTTACGATTTTCTCAAGCCTTTTCAAACACGGAAGAGCCGCCAACCGACCGCTTATCTAGCGGCTCCACTCGCTAATGTTTCGCCGTTCCGCGCGCCGCCACCATCCGCGTCTCCGAATCGCAAGCGCAAACGCCGAGCGCAACTCGAACGACTTTCCCTCGAATCGAGGAAAAAACCAACCATCGATTTCAGCCAAACCCGTTTCCAAGTAACGCCGCGAGTAACTCGTCGCTCCAATCTACCAACGCGATCCCCAGTCGATCGTCTCGTCGATCGATGAAAATTCGACGACAGGTGCGAAACGCGGCTGAATCAGGATCCGATCGATTTTGCGGTTTTCCCTGCAAATCGACGTTCCTATAGAGAGAGAGAGAGAGGGGGAGAGCGAGAGAGTAAACTGTCATCTCGCGAAGAGAACGCGAGTCACGCACACTTTTGGAATCGCGCTAGCGTTCGAGCTCGCAGAAACAACGTACTCTCTCTCTCTCTCTCTTCCCTCCTGTTTTCTCTTCCTCTCTCTCTCTAGATCTCAGTCGTTGAACGGTGAGCCGAGCGCGTATGCACTTTCCCGGTGCAACGGTCGCACCAAGTGCATTGGAAAGTGCGGCTCGCACGCAGTCCCTGCTGGCCCCCGTTGCCCCCCTTGCCCCGTTATCACGATTGGTTGGCTGGCTTATAGCTGGCACCGATCTACCTACCGAGCGTTCGCTTTCTCTCCCGACGCCTCGATGCATACACCTATAAGTATATACGCACTTATGCTCAGCTTCCCTTTCGTCCCGTTCGTTCCTCCATCGTTTCGTTAACCGTGGAAGAAACGTGACCGACAGCCTACGGCTTTTCGATCGAGGCCGAGCGACCGGCCGATCGATCGATCCATCGATCGATCGGATTTCTCGTTTCAACGAACCGCGAGGATTCGTGAAAATCCGGCCAACGACCCCCGCGTTTCGGCCGGCCGTCGAATCGAAACGTCTCACGCATTCGCGTTCCCACCAGCCACTGTATAAATCGTGATTCTACGTTTCCGCGTGTGTTCCATCCACGGACACGGTGTTCGCTCCGTTTCTTTTCCTTTCGCGAGATATCTCCTCGCTAGAAAGCGAGAGACAGAGAGCGAGAGGGGAAAATACACGTACGAGAGCAAGTCGGGTGGAAATGTTTTTAGAAGCTCGGCAAAGAATTTCGATAACGATCCCCGAGTAAAGTTCAATCAGTCGCTGCTTCTACGCCCAGCAGGGCTGTAGTCGCTTTGGCATGCAGCACGAAATCCAAGGTACAGAATCGTCGTCGCCGATATCGCTCTCTGAATCGACAATCAAAAGCTGCGTGTGCAGTTATGCGCCACGAATCGACGCGTGCACCTCCTCCTTCGAGCAGGATAGTTCCGAGGGAAAAACCAGTCATCGTCGGAGAAAGCAACGTTTCTCGCGACTGCGAAACGCCACGCGATAGCGTCCTACTAATTCCTCGACCCGGTAAACGTTGCGCGCGTATCGCGGCGCGTTATCGCCGAGTACGTACGCCGGTCGGCTCGCGTACGGAGACTTTGGCGAGAAAGCTGGCGCAGGATAATTAATTATCGTAGGGGAATCGTTCGGTTGGCGAGACGATTTGCTCGCGACGAATCCGGAGAAGAGGCGACGAGCGTACGCGGAAGCGTACGCGTACTCGCGATGCGGGTCAGTCGTCGTCGTCGTCGTATTCATCGGTATGCGACTTCCTCTTCACGGTCGTTCTTGTTAAGCCGCGAAACACCGTGAGGTAGCTGCCGCAAAGATCTGCAGGCTTGACGGAAATCGCGAGGACGAACGGCCGCGCGATCGTCTCGTAGCTCACCACCCACTAACGGAGCAAGAGAACGTCGAGTAATCCAGGGACACACGAGAAACTTGATAACCGATGCTCGTTTCTGCCGTTCACGTTCGCAGCTACGTGGAAATAACTACGATTCCCCGTACGATTCCCCCGTACGATGATCCCGGCGATCTCGTTTCCCGTTATCGCGCGATTAACCCACGATTTCCGTTCCTCTTCGCTCGATCCTCGATCCCTCCCTCCCCCCCGAGGATGACGGCGATTCGACGGGAAATTGACGAGGTTTGTTGAAAATTTCTTACGAACCGTCGCGGGATGAGGCGAGCTGAGCCGAGAGGCGATCGCGAGCCGAGTATTATTCCAGAAACGAAGATAAAGAACGGCGCATAGCGCGCTGTTACGCGTCGGTTACGCAATTTCGCGAGTCGCGAGATGGGAGAAAAATGGAAAGCGAGCTAGCCGAGGGAAGGGCGAAGGGAGGAGGCGGGAAGGAGGGAGGAGAAGGAGCAAGGTATCGCGTGTATCCGTTAACCGCGACTCGGCGCGATACCGGATTTGCATGGTGCAGAAGAGGCGAGGTGGTTCGCGTGCTCGGTTGCACGGCGTCGCACGGAGGTAGGTGCAATTAAAAGGAGGATCGGGAGAAAAAGAGCGAGACGCTTATGACTGGTTAGGATTCTAGAACGGAGAATAAAAGGGGAAAACAAGAAGGTCGGTGGTGGCGCGGTGTTCGTAGCGAAGTAGGAGCTCGCGGAGGTATAGAACCGCGCGCGATCGCAATGTAGCGCGATGCGAGAGCAGCCGCGCGCGGTGGCTGCAGCGACCGGTGCACGCGAATGCATATACATATATCTCTGCCTCGTCGTTGCACTCGGGAATGCGGTCTATAGCGCGTAGGATCGAGAGCGGACGAGCGAGCAGCGGGCAGAGAAACAAGAAGAAGGATCGCGACGGTCGGACAGAGAGGCGAAGCAGGAGCGAGAAGAGCGAAGGGACGGTCGAGAGCGCGGGCGCGGACGCGGACTCGAGGAGCGCGAAACAGTCCGGCGAGAGAAGAGAAGAGAAGAGAAGAGAAGAGTAGAGAAGGAGACGGAGGAGACGAGAGCGAACGGGAGAGAAAAGAGAGTAGGAGAGAGAGAGGGAAGGAGAGCGTGCACGGCAGTCGTAAACGGCAACAATTGCTGCGGGCGTTGCCACTCGAAAGCTCGAGTGCCTAATGCCAGATGTCAGACGGTGGTTAGAGTCATTACGGTCATCACTTTGTACCGCGATACACGATGTGTACCGGCCGACCGATGCACCGTCGCGCGCGCATCTTCTATCTCTCTAGAAACGCGATCCGTCCGATCCGAGTTTGCGATTCGCGAATCCCTCGCGAATCCCTCGCGAATCCCTCCGTCGCGTTATCCCAACTCCCCTTTCGACGTCGTCGCGTGGCACTCGCGACTCCTTCGTCTTTGCACCTATCCCGCGCCGCTCGCTTTTCCTCCTCTCCGGAGTATTTTCCTGCGTCCTTGGGAGGAAGAGGTCGAACGCGAAGTCGGACAAAAGGCTTCTCGCGGTTTAATGATCCTCCGGTTACCGGTTAGGACGGATAATGGAGGGCTTGCGCGAAGATGAATCGGAGAACCCGTGACCCTCCACGTAGCACAGAGAGACGGATACTCGGTCGATGGATAGGAATAGTTTCGCGCACGAACGCGCACGCTCGTTTCGTCCGTACGTACTTGCCTAGCACGAGTACACTAGAGGCTAGAAACGCGAAAGGGGAAGGTGGCGAGAACCCAGGCACCTAAATTCGATCGACCACCGCCGCCGTCTCATCCGCCGTTCGGCGTTTTTCAGCTGGACGAACGGCGCGCGATTCGCCGGCACGAATCGCGCCGCGATGGTTAACGCGAATGTCGAAGGGGTGAATCCTGTGGGAAACGCGAGAGAGGAGGATTCGACTCGCGTCATCGGTGGTACTTTCGAAACCCGTTTTCGTGGTACAGCGGGAACGTATATATCTGGTCTCCCCTCGCCGTTCGTTCGAACGCTGCGGCGGCGGAGGGACGTGGCAGAGAAACAAGAGGAACGGGATGGAGAGGAGAGGAGAGGAGAGACACGCGAGGTTGGGAGAAGGAGCGAAAAGGAGAAAAGAAGGCGAAGAATCAAAGGGGTGGAGCCGGTACGAAAGGGGATGGAGCGAAAAGAAGCGGCCGGTTCGGGTTCGAGAGACGACGGGTGGGAGAGGCCGACGAAAAATCTGTAATTATAATAATTACAGTCGAGCGGCCAACAATTATAAATCATCATTGAACTAGGCAACGAAACGCCAATAAAATATATATCGTACGAAAGTTCGGGGCAGTCATTAAGATCGGGTCGCGGTGCGCGCACGCGTATCCGGCCGCCTACCGGATACGTCCGTGTACGGCCTACCACCCGATTGAAAAATGTACTCGTTTATTCCTCTCAATTTCCATCGGCATTCGGCATTCGGTGTGCACCGGCGCGAGCATTCACCGCTTCTCCCTTGAATGCGGATGACAATCCAATCGGAGAAAAAAGAAGGCACGCGTTTCGCTCGGCCAGATGGACGGTCGCTGGTGTGTGTGTGTGTGTGTGTGTGTGTGTGTGTGTGTGTGTGCCAGGGAGGAGGTCGACGCAACGTTTCTCTCCTCTTTTTCTCCCGTCTCCGTGCAAACCCTTCCGAGTCTCTCCTCGCTCACCCTCTTTTCCACGACCGCGCTCGCGTCCCTCGGATCCACGCGCCCCACCCGAGATCCACGGGGTCGCTACTCGCGAAGGAATCGAAGGACGCGCGACCATCGGGTAAGTAGGTGCGAATGGGGAGAAATTTCGCCCAAGCGGAAGAAACGAGTTACCGCTGGTTGCGCGGACAAGCCGCAAGAACGCGTAACGACTTCGTTATCTCGGACCGAACGAGCGCATAAGTATAGTGTTACTTTCGACGATTACGCGGAGCGTAAGACGATCGTCCTTAAAAGGGGTCAGCAGATAAGGCAGTTAATCCCTTTCCCGTGGCCACATCGGCGCGTCTCAAATTTCAGAAACGCGCGACGCGTTCGCGCCTCGCGGACACACCACCCGGTTTCCCGAATCGCTTGGCCAGCAGGCCGCCCAGGATCTAGGACGGATAATCCGCCTGGTCCGTTTGGTCCGCGCGCGCACACGCGTTACGCCAGACACGGGGATCGGCAAATACACGCCATACGGGTATACCGATCGCGAACGGCTCGTAACGCAACCTCGGTGTCGAGAGCAACTTGTTCTCGCTCTAACACCGCTTCGGGGAAGAGCATCTCGCCGCTGCCACAAAGAAAACCTCTCGCAACAGGTTTCCCCGCGCGAGTGGAACGCGTTCCTGGCACGCGTGTTCTCCGACCGTTCGCCGCTACCATTCGCGCTACCTCTAGCCGGGCGCTGTTAACGCGCTTTTCGGCTTCCACGCCACTCTCCTGCACCGCCTCGATATTCCACCTCCGGCCAACGATCCTCTTCTTCTCCCGTCCCGTTTCTCGTACGCCCGTGTATCCGTACGCGTCCCAGCTCGCGGACGCGGATTCTCCGAACGGGTCGCACAGTGGCGAACGAACGACGATACGCGCGTCGCATGCGAATGCGCTCGCGCGAATTTATTTCGTCGCCGTATCGGCAGACATCGTCGGAATCGCGAACCACTTCGATCGCGTCCGCGGGAACGCGGATCGAGTCTCGATCGTCGATCGTGTACGCTATCGGCAGGGAAAGGCCGATATTTTCTCGGGATACGCGCGCTTCCCGCGCTAATTGCCGGTGAAACCGAGGAGAAAACCTTTCGAACGCGGCGTGTACCGCTGCGGTACCAATTACGAGTTTCCCAGCGTAACGCGGATACGTGGCTCGCGGCGCGACCGGTCCCGGGCGCCGCTGCCCTTTCGGCTCGCTCGCTCGCCAACGTCTGCACTGCCAACCTTTTGCAACATCCACGCGGCACCGTTCCTCGCACGGCTAAAAGCGAAACGTTCTAGCCGGCTGGCGGCTATTGCGAGGCGCGTGGAACGGCGCTCGCGCTATTAATTCGCGTCGTAATCTCTCGCGAGGATCCAAGGATCTGAGATCGACGAACGTTTGGCAGAGTGAACGCGTAGCGAAGGTTGTCGCGTATTACGCGAGGAGTCGCGACGCGGCGTGCAAACGTCGTATCGGTGGAAACGAATGTGTTTTCTTACCTTGAGAAAGCAGCGTCCCACGGGCATATCCTCCGGTACGGTGGCGTTGTACAGCGGCTTCTCGAAGATCGGCTCGTTGTCGTTGAGGTCGTGCACGGTGACGCGCACTGTCGCGTTGCTACTCAACGGCGGACGACCCGAATCGGTCGCGATCACTACGAGCACCGGCGCGGGATCAGCCTCGCAGTCCACGTGAGTTCGCGTGGAAATGAGACCAGAGGCTTCGTCGATGACGAACCACGTGGAATTGAGCAGAGAGTATTTGATGGCGGAATTGGCACCTTCGTCGAGATCCGTCGCGGTCACCTTCAACACCGGTGTACCCGATTCCGAGTCCTCCAGCAAGTGAGCCTCGTATCTGTCACGCGCGAATTTCGGCGCGTTGTCGTTGACGTCGGTGACGAGTAACCGAAAGGTTCGAACGGCTCGCAACGGAGGGGTACCGGCGTCGGTGGCCTCGACCGATAGATCGTAGACGGGTTTCTCCTCGCGATCGAGCGGTCGCTCCACCACGACCAGGTATATGATGTTGTCCCTGGTGGCCAGGCCAAAGTGTCCCTCGCCGCCGGTCAACGTGACGGTAGCGTTGGAATACTCGGTCCTGGAGTCCGGATCGCTGACCGATATCCTGGCGACGAACTCGCCCGGCTGCGCGCTCTCGCTGATCTTGGGCGTCGCGTCGTCCGACAGGAAGATGACGGTGATCGCGGGTTGATTGTCGTTCACGTCGGTCACGCGGACCGATAGAAACGCGCTCGCCTCGAGAGGCTGAGCGCCACGGTCCCTCGCAACGATCACCAGCTCGTGCCTTTCCTTCGATTCAAAGTCCAACGCCTTGTTCACGTACACCATACCGGTCTCCGGATCGATGCGAAACATCTCCTCCCGGTCGGACTGTCGTCGATTGATGGAATACTCTATACGGCCGTTGTCGCCGGCGTCACTGTCCGTCGCGTTCACCGCGAGCACCGGCGTTCCGACGGTCGCGTTCTCCGGCACGCTGGCCGCGTACCTCGTCTGATTGAAAATCGGCGGGTTGTCGTTGACATCCTGCACGGTCACGTTCACGTGCAGTCTCGAACGAAGCGGTGGCGCGCCTCCGTCCAACGCCTCTATCGCCAAGTGATAACGCGATCGAGCCTCGCGATCCAGGGAACCGGAATTCTGTAGATCCAGGTAGAGCACGCCGTCGCGGCCACGATGCTGGGACAACCTGAACGCGTCTCCGTGGTTGCCGGACACGATCTCGTATCGTTGCGTCGAGTACTGGCCGAGATCCGGGTCCTTGGCGGGTGGCAGCGCGCGTTTCGCGTCGCGCGGCGAATTTTCCGGGAACTCGACGTCCACGTGGTCGACGGGAAAGGTCGGCGCGTTGTCGTTCTCGTCGAGAACCTTCACCACCACTTGAATGTTCTGCGGCAGAGCGACCAAGCTGTAGGACGGTCTGGTTTCCCGATCCAACGGCACTTTTGTCCTTATCTCGCCTGTCGCGTGATCCACTATCAAGTCCGAATCGACCGCTGACCCGGAAACCGATACGATCAAGTACGGCGGACTATCGGCGTCGATGAAACCCACCCTGGTCCCCGGTCGAGCGTTCTCCGAGACCTCCAAGTATCTTACGCGCTCGGACCGCGTGCCCGGGGCGAGAGTCGCTCCCAGGACGAGGAACAGTAGCAGGTGCCGCATCCTGGGGCCTCCACAACCGCCGCCACCGCCGCCCTCACCGCCTCCACCACCTCCACCTCCGCCGTCTTTCGCTATTATCTCGATCTTTCCATTCCTGTACGATCGATCGTTAGAGCACGCGGCACCGATCGATGCCTCCAAATATTCTTCATGCGGTCACCGATATCCACGCTTTCTCTCTCTCCCTCTCTCTCTCTTTCTCTCTCTCTCTCTCTCTCTCTCTCTCTCTCTCTTTCCCCCCCTTCTATCTCTCTTTCTGTCTAGCTCTTTCGCGTACCCTGCCTTGGACAGTGTTGGAAGTAAAAAATCGGGCGGAAGAAAGCGCGGTTACTACGCGATCAACCGGCACATTAATCACCCACTAGCAGCACCAGCACCAACCAAGCACAATCACGTTTTCCCCTGAGACCGTTCCTCTCGTAAACACTCGCCACTACTCTGGAATTTCGTTCGACTGCGCGCTGCGTTCGCGCTTTACGTACCTCTCTCCGCGTGTTATACGACCTGTCGATCGTTTCGTCGGGGCAACCTCTCGAAGGTGACTGCGCCAGATTATAAACACGCCGTTCTCGAAAACACGCGATACTCGATGGAATTTTCCTCGGTGGATACCGACTTATCCGACCCCGTTCCACCTTCTTTCTCCGTCCTCTTCTCACTCACCGATCTCTCTTCCGTCTCCTTCTTTTCTCCTACGTCCTTCCTCCTTTCGTCCTAGCACCGCGTACGTGCCTCCTCGTCCTCGCTATCGGTCCTCCTCTATCTTTCTCTAGCGAGCCGTGGTATCCGCGCTGTCCTCACCTTTGCTGGAATATCTTCGCCTCGAGATATCGTACATTCCTCGCGTTAGATCCACGTCCGATAACTCGACGATCAACACGACCGGTCGCGAACCCGGCGCGATCGTTTCGCGTCTGGAACGCCCTTCATCTCTCTCGCTCTCTATCTCTCGCACTCTCTCGCTCTCTCTTTCTCTCGGCTTCCGTCGGGTCCGCACCCAAAAATTTACTCTTTACGCACACACGCGGTGCTTTGCCTCGCGGTTCGATATCTCCGTGTATCGTCACACCTTCCTCTCCATCCTTCCTCTCCTCATCTTCCTCCACTCTCTCGCCTACCGTTGCCAACTTCCTCGGCTCTCTCTCTCTCTCTCTCTCTCTCTCTCTCGAGAATTCGATCTTCCCCTCGATCGCGGAAGTGTTCCGCGATTCCTCTTCTTCCTCTTCCGAATTTCTACCGCGGTTATCAAGCTCGCGACGAAACACCACCGCGCAACTATCTGTCCTCTCCAAACTGTCACACGCCACTCACTGCCTGTGTATCCGTATATGTATATATACACGCGTGTGTGTGCGCGCGTGCGTGTGTGTATATATATATATATATAAATTTATATAGACGTAGACGAAGAAGCACGGAATCACGAACGCGACGCGACGCGAAACGAGAAACGTAGAAGATTACGCGACGCGCTGGAACGTCCGACTTGCCCGATCTCGTCGACGAACCGCAACATACGCTCGACACGACCTTCCCGTCGCGTATCGTAGCACGTTTACTCCGATCCTCTCTCGTCGTCGTAGTCTCCTTTCGCTCCGATACACCCCTCTCTCCCTCTCTTTCTCTCTGCACTCGCTGTTCGCTGTTTATACGTTCGATCCGAGATCGCACGCACACGCGATCGATCGAACGAAAGGCACGGACTCGCGGCGAGTTTTCGCGGATGCTCGAGCGTGGCTCGTGAACGTTCTCAGGCCGAACGAAAGTGCAGCAGCGGCGAGAAGCAAACGCGGCACGAGGTGTTGCGTTCTTGGGCCCAGCGTCCGTTCCGCGCGGCTTCGAGGTTAGGCATGCACTGACATGGCGGCACCTGCAAGGCCTACCCTTCCCCTGACTCGCTGGACTCGGCTGGCTCGGTCAGGGGGACCCGGCTGGACCCGAACGGCGGCCATCTTGGAGAGGGGAGCGGTAGTACAGCGGGCCCCGATATGCCGGGGCCTAGCCTGCCTGCCTGCCTGCCTGCCTGCTTCCTTGCCTGCCTGCCTGCCTGTCCGCTTACTTGCCTGCCTGCTTGCCAGCTCCCTCTCTCTCTTGCTCACCTTCCTTCTCCCTCCTATTCCGCTCTGCCGGTATTTCTTCCTCTTCCTCTCGCCTCGTCGATTTAACGTTTCTTTCCCCCTTTAGCTCGTTCACCGCCTTCCAACCTACCTGAGAGCCCGGTATGCGAACAACTGACTTACCATCGGCGCTCATTCCGCGCTCGGCCCTACGAGCCTCTTCTACGCCTGTGTGCCAAAGGTCCTGGAATTTCGTGACGTGACGAGAGAGATTCCGGATAGTTTGCATGCCCGGTACCAACTTTGCTTTTTTCCACCGAAATCCTGGAAATTCGAGCGAACCACGCACCCGATGCAACATCCCGCGCCGCGGCAATTCGTACGCCGCGCGGAAATCGGGCCTGCCGTCTCGCGAAAACGCGATTACGTCACGCCGAATTACGCGGCGCGGGTAGCGGACGTTAAAGGACAAGAAATTTGCATCTTAACGGGAAGCGGCGCATTAATTTTGACGATCTGTTAACACGTCCCCTGGGAGGGCAGGAGATCGATGTTGGTTGCATGATGCATGAGATATCTCGCGACGATCGCGACCACGACGCGCTGTTTCGAACTCTGCTTTCCGGGATAATCGCGTGCTTCGATAATATATTTCGCTTCGTTTCGCCGTATAGATCATCGGATGGTTTGCTCTCGCCACGCGGCCACGACGCCGCTGATAAATTCTCGCGTTAATAATTCCGTGCATCACCGATCACTCGCGTCGCTGCTACCGGTGCGACCAGGAATCTAGAAGCTTGACCCCGGCACCCACCCCGAAAAACGAACAAATTAACCGACTGCCTCGTACCGGCACGCGCTGGAATTTCATATGCGCCAAGAATTCGGATTAGTACGCGGCTGCTCACTCGCGGCTTCGATATCTCGCGCGTCCAACGCGAGGACTGCCATCCCGACGATAGGAGGTGGCGTCGAATTGGCCGGAAACTGCAGCGGTTGCTGGCACAACCGGCGTCATTCGTACGCGATCAACGGAAATGTCAACCGTGCCGAAACGTCACCGTGCGAAATCCAGCTGAAACGAAAGGAAGATCCATCGGTTCCGTCGGCTCGCGCGACGCGTCTCGAGGGTCGAGGACCCTTGGCTCCTCTACCTGACTCTACGAGTAGGCAGATAAATCCGCCGCCTACTACTACTCTCGCTACGGACAATGCGCTCGAGATGGTGCATCATCGTCCGTATTGTTTGCTCAACCATCGGCCACACGGCCCGCGATCTTTCGCAGGTGCTGCATGCAGGAAAGAGATCCTGCCGCGAACGCGTAACGCGCTCTTGCCTGCTCGGCAACCACGAATTCCCCGATTCCTTCGTCGCGGAATATCGCCCAGCCATCCATTTTGCTCCCTCTAGTACGACTACCTACGTACGTACGAAAGCACGACTTTGCCTTCATTCCAGCACAAGCTCGCCCGAAACCATCCTATCGACGACAATCTCTTCCTCTCTTTCCAACCCTCACCCTGTCCCCTGCTCCTTCTCGTTCTTTCTCAGCGTTGTCGTCTTCTTCTTACTCTTATTACCCCGACTTCTTTATAGTCGACACTTTTTCTCCGTCTTCTTATTTTCTCGCCGTGATTGTCCTCCTCCTAATTCTCCTCGACTCCGCGATTCTTCCTTCTTCTTCCTCCTCTTCCTCTACTATCCCTCGGCCGTTGCATCGATACTCTTTCTTCCTCTGGTTTCGAGGAAGATGAAGAAGGAGAAACTGTGCAACAGAAGTGCCATTGTCACCGTTCGGACGCCTTGCCATTAAAGAACGTCAGGGATTTCTACGAAATCTTTCCGGTGTACACCAATTTCGACGCGGTATGGTGGCACGGTGGCATGGCCGTTAGGAGAAAATTACAGAGTTCGGAAATAAAGGGAGAAAGAAGAAGGAGATAGGGAGGAAGTGGAAAGAAGCAAAGTGGTCTGCGGATACGAGAAAAGGGCACGCCGCGATAATCCGAGGCCGGGGAGAGGAAAGGACCGACAAAGCTCTCGTCATTAAGCGAAATGATTGCCGGTCGCGAGGGGGGCACCTACACCCCGGTTTGCTTCCAAGGACACGCCAGTCGAAACGCCAAACACCGCGAAAACTTTTCTCCGGCCACTCTTCCACGCCCTCCGCTTCCGGCTACTTCTCTCCGCATTTCCCTTTCTTCCATTTACCAATCGCGACCGTCCCTATTCTTTCCCTCCGCGATCTCTCTCCTTCCTCGAAACCAAAGGGTCGAGGGGAAAACGGAAAAAGAATCGAAAAAATTCGGCAGCGAGATGCAAAAGGAGAAGGAGAAGAAGAAGAAGAAGGTGGAGGAGAGGCAAAAGTAGACAAAGGAGAAGTAACTATGTTTCTTGCGAGCTAAGGTGCAACGATGGTACCAGCTGGACCGAGTCCGATCGAGTTACCAGTTTCGAATGTCCGCAGTAGTCGTGAGCGGCTCTAGAGTTTCGCGCTCGGATTTCGTAAAAAACGTGATTTCGAAACGTCGAGTAGAGAACTCGATAGACAATTTTGTGGCACGACCATCCTCGATTTCCGGTCTCCTGCACGTGCATCTCTGCTGCTCTCTACGCCGACCATCACCTTCTACGTACACGGTCCGTGAACTGCTCCTCGGCCCGAGCTTTCTTATCCCGGTTAACTGCAACGAACTATAGCTACTAATGTAGAATAATAGGGTGGGAAAAAAGGATGACTGGAAAGACGAAGAAGCAAAGGGAAAAGAAACCAAGGTAAGAGATTTCGTCGAGGCGTAGTAGAGGGGCACTGAAAATTGGGAACTGGTGGGGGTGATGGAGACCAGCCGCATAATGACAGGGTGCCTCGCGCCAAGGCCCCGCTAACGAACCGGCCCACGAGACCCAAAAGGGTCCAGGCTAGGAGACGACACTGTATTATTTTACCATTTCGGGGGTCGGGGGCATCATCAGAAATCATCGCCGAATCCATATAATCAGTAGACGGTTACGTGCAGCCATGATTTTAAAAGCAGAAGGAAGGGGACCGCGAGGGGTAGAAAGGACGGAGGGAGAGAGGATGAGGCCTAATAAGGCGAACGGTGGTAGGTACTTCGGTATCTTCGTCCTCGTCCTCGTCCTCGTCCTCGTCCTCGTCGTCGTACTCATCCACGACCGCGCCGCATCTTCGTCATCGTCGTTGCCCGTCTCTCAAAGATCTCTTCGACTTCAGAGTCCTTGATACGAACTTATAGTACTCGTTGCGGCCACTAATGACACGGACCCGATAAAAAGTAAACCCCTTCTACCTTTCTTTCTTCCCTCCTCCTCCTCCGCTATCTTGACGCGTTACACGAAAGGTGGGCCTTAAAACGTTCCAATGAGCTCGCAAATGCTCTCGACGGAACGATTCTGGAGCGCGATCAGAGACGAACGTACGAAATTACACGGGGGGGGGGGAAAAAAAAAAAAAGGGTACGTTTATGCACTTAGCTACGCTACGCGGTAACGAACCAGCGAAAGAATCAGGCGTTCGAAAGAAACTCGTCGAATACCCTGGCCGCTTATTCCTTTCTCGTATTCCGTAATTCGCCTTACTTCGAGTCCCGATCAGAAATGCTGGTCCGTTAGTTTCGATTAAGCCGCAGCGCCGCACATCGGAACAAGAGCGAACACGTTTTCTGAAAATTCCTCCCGTCCAGACGCCGCGAGTTATCCCTCTAGTTGGCGTATACGCATGGCGGATATGTAGACAAATATTTATTAGCTGAAACATAGGTTATCGTGGCCGCGGAAAATCGTCGTGAGAAGATCTCGAGACTGGGGCAATAAAGAGCGATATGCGATTACACGGTGAAAGTTGATCGATAAAGATCTAAACGAAAGTTGTTGGTGGATATGAAACGCCTCTTGTGCGTACCGAGTCCGCTTTGCGTAGGAACGACCGGTTTGTTACAAATCGAGGAAAACGTCCACGTGTCGATCGATAACTCGATTCTTTGAAAAAATTCATCTCCGTGGAAAGATTTCGAGTAGATTCCTCCCTGCTTCGTGTACGATGAAAAAACGGAGAAAAGTAAAAGGTGACTCGTTAAATTGCGTACGTCGAGTAAACCACGGGTACCATGGATATTGAAGAAGCTAACGAATGGTTAAAAAACACCGTGGGAGTGTAGAAGAAAATAGGAATACGATATGTAACCTGTATCGATACCGCGACACGCGTTATCTCGATAATTAGGGGCTTTCTCTGGACCGAAATATAGGATGTTGGAACCTTTCGAACTGGTTTCAGAATTCCATGGACCGTGTCAGCGAATCGACCGTAAGATAACGTATTGACAGACTGACCGAGCTCTTTCGTATGTCTTTTTCTAATCTATCTTCGATACACAGCGACGATAACCATTTTTACCATCCGTTCTCATCAATGTGTCCGTTTAGCTGCCACTTCGCTCCAAAATAAATCCTTCGAAATGAATTTCAACGATAATAAAGTGAAAACAAGTTTCGATTAATTTTCAAACCCCGTAAAACATTGTGAAATCGCTAACCACAGCTTCGTGATCCGTTTTACGTTCGTGAAAATACTCTTACCCCGTAACAGATTCTTATTTCACGTAAGTGTGACTATGTATTCGGTATGCTTATGAAGAAAGAAGTCACAAGTTTTGAAACCGTGCCGCAAATTGCACCTTAAACCGAAAATGTCTTCTAACCTGCGAAATAACGATTTATTATGGTATTTAAAACATTTTTCGTAGACAATTTCAACTATACAACATTATAAAGTTCAATTGCACGCGTAGAGTTAACGTGCGAGTGAGATACCAAGTGAGAGAAACAGGAGGAAGAGAGAGAAAAAGAGACAAGGCAGCAGAGACGACAGGATGCACGTACATACACACGCGAGCGCACACGCACGCACACTGATCAGAAAGGGGTACACAGCGTCATCTCTCGTCGGTAAAGTGTACAAAGGATAATACATCCCTGGATAAGTGATACATTAAGAAGTGTAAATAATATAAAAAAAAATGTCATATTTCATTGTTACAAAATAGATATTTAAATATATTTGAACTAAAAATAATATATCATCTTAGAATTTATGATTTTAAAGGAATAACTGGCCAATACTGAGGTTTTGCTTTATCTTTGTGTCTATCGACTGTAGTTTGGAGAGCAGTTTCCATTGCTAATATCGTAGGACTAGCTTCACCGTATAATAGTTCTGCATTAGTGTTTCTTGTCTGTATCCATGCAGCTCCACCTTGTATATTCGTACATTCTTCATCCTCCTTCTCCTTTTTCATACATATTTCAGATTCCTTTAATTTCTGCAATTCGTATTTATGTCTCATACTTTGCTCTAAAAAGCTCATCATTTCTTCGTTTACATGAAATTCTAAATTTTCAATTTCTTCGTTAGATGTTGTTTCTTCCAAATTATTTTCTACGTTCTTAGACTCGTATTCCTTTTTCTTTTGTTCGTTTAAAGAACACTGTTGACTACCATGACATACCAGAGACTTTAATGTATCTCTTAATATTTGATTTTCACGTTCCAATGCTATGCAACGAGTTCTCCACCAAGTTACGCTATGCCTAAAATTATTATCTTAAATACATTCCATATCGTTTGAAACTTTGACACTCGGTATAAGTATAACAACTAACCTTTTCTGCCACTCTTGAGCAACTGTGTAATTTTCCCAAAAAGAATTAGCTTGCATCGTATTGTTTGCAATTAATTTCTCTCTGGCAATAAAAATATTACTACGATCCGAAATAAATCCCCAACGTTTTGCAGTCTTAACCTCAAATTTTTGTTCACGACGACGTTTTTTCAAATGACTCCTTTTTTTCCGATTTCTTCCACGCTTTATAGCAACAAAGTCCATATCTTAGAGTCGCTTTTTCCAGGAAGAAAACCAATGACAATTATGAAGATACCATCGTTGATAAATTTATGTAAATGCTTGGAAAATTACGACCAACGTGACATCAAACGTATAACCTAACAAGTGCAAATTAGATCCCTCGTTTATGCTACAACCAATACATAATAGCTTATCGTTGAGGGACACAGTAAACTAAAAATTATGCAGCTCGTTCTAAATTTCAAAAGTTACCCATAATTTTGGAAATTACAAGGGAATTATGAATATCGAAGGTTAAACAGGTGACTTTTATTAGAAATATACAGTACTGTCGTAAGACTTTATACAGATTCAAGAAATTTGAACTTAAGTGAAGATGACATAAGCATTAACACCAGTTAAAGTCAAAATACACTGTAAATCGTTTCTGTTCATCATTTCACATTCATGTGCTTCAAAAGTATTATTAAGATAAAGAACATGCAGTTGTACGAAACTACCTCTTATTTACTAAGTATGCACGCGATCGATAATCGTACTTAATAGTACTTAATAGTGAATTTTATAAATATCTCAAAATTCAACGCTACTAACAATAGTTTTCGCTATAACTTTGTAAATTCGAGGTAATGTTTAACATGTACACAGCAGAAGTTGATGATTAGAATGTGAATCCTACTATCACATTTCGATCGAAATGATTTGATAAATAAAATACAAAGTCATTTGCGCAAGGTAAAGTTCGTTGGGATACAGAACAGCATCGCTTTATAGTTTCAACAAACTATGTATATACGTTCACTTTGAAGGCTGTGATTACGAATGTTGTTCCTGCACAAACAAATGTTGTGACTACAAAAGTAACAAATCTTACAAAATTGACTGTGATGAACAACACGTTGGTGCACAACGTTCTTCAGAGTATGATGAACGATCGATTCTGTTCTCACATGTACGATAAATGTAATCCACGTTCAAACGATACTTCGTCACTTCCGAACTTAATATTCCCACTATCTGTACTATTTCTTCTTCGATTAGCACTACCTTCATCAACTTCAATATTATGACCAGAAGCTTCACCATTTTCTATATCACTAACCAATGACGTTTTATTTAACGGCTCTAGCCCAATTATTACACGAACATTGTCGGGCAATCGATCCGCAACGGACATTAATTGATAATAAATACCCTCTGCTTTAGATAATGTCCAAGGTAATTCGATATGATGTGAAAGATCATTTATATGCTGCAACATGCACTATGTGTTAATTGAAAAATAAATATTCTTCGATTGTATAATCTCGTGTATACCTTTAATATTTCTGTGAGCCCATAACGATTTTCCATAAGCACGTTCCTTTCCGTATCTAAAATGGCTACGCACAAAAGCAGATGGAAATTTTTGCATGGTAAATCAGTCCACAATATTTCCCATAACTTCATTATGTCGATCGTGTTGAACTCTCTTTTAAATAAAACCAGGAGCCAACGAAAACAGAAAAACATATTTCCTGAATCATGTTTATTCAAGTAATGTGCTAATTGTGGATCTGTGGCATTCAAGAGAGTATATAATTGGCACAATTGGGCTTTCATTCCAGCTTGATCGATTTCGAAATTGGTACTCTGTTTCGTAGATGATAATGCATGATTAATTTAAATGTTATATAAATTTCTATATCTCAAAGTATGTAATATAAACATACCACTTTGTCCATAAATCCAACGAAGCACCAAAACGCATCAACCTCGCTTTCCACTAAGCATAAGATAGGACTCAGAAGATCGCTCATACCTTGAACGTATCCCAAATCAAAATTGTACATTACATAAGTCATTAGAATATCGTACAATTGTGCTAAATGTGGATTGTTATCGCCCGAGTAGTATGGATGCGTTCTATCCGTTCTATTTACGTCCTTTTCTAAAATTTATATATCCTTACTTTACAATCAATGTTACTTTTACCATTACTTTTTGCATCAATGGGCTTAAACAGCTTTTACTTGCCTATTAAACTCTTTCGATCCCGGTAATCAGAGAAATTATTTTCTTGTACAGATGTCATAGACCTCCATTGTAATTTCATCATAAAGTATTCATCAGTCTTCTTTTTTTTAAGTTCTAATCTTTCGATATGAGTAGAATTCCATGGATAGTAGTTCAATAGAAATTTCCATACTTCGAAACGTAAAGATGGTATAATACCCTAAAAAGTTTTATGATTTGTTTATTATGTTTATTATTCTTGTCTATAAATCAATGATGCTCCAAATGAAATTCTATAGCTTTCTTTTATATCGCAAAATACCCATTTGTGAAAAACAGTTTATACATCTAAATGATATGTACAAACCCCACGAAAAATAACTTCTTTTACTTCTTGAGGATTTAAAATTCTTCCCTCTCGGTCCTTATATTTGTTCCACTGTTCTTGCGACAGTGGAGTACCTAATGTGATCACGTATATTTATATACTTTCGACAATATGATTTGTTACAACGCTAGTTTTACCATACCTCTTGAACAAGTTGGTCTTGGAGGTAATTCTATACACAATTCATGTTCCCCGATCACTTCGTAGTCCTCACCAGAACCCACAGATAATTGTGGAGGAGGAACATCGATTGAGAAAGAATTGTTTAATATATCTGCAACTGCTTCTTTAACTGGGCGTTTAACTGGATCCTTGTATACTGTAATTTGAAGGTTTTGTTAAAGTGGTAGAAATTACTTTCATCATATTATTTTGATTCCAAAAATTACCTATAAACTTACACAAAATATCTGCAAATTTACTAAATGCTTCCAATGTTGTTTCATATGGACGGTTGTGTAAGTTCTTTACAAATTTCCATACATAATCTGATGTATTTTCTTGAAATATGTCTAATTCGGCAAATGATTTACTCAAAACCGATTGAACTTCATCCACTACGATGTACAAATTTTTATTTGTTCGAGATTTTACAAATTTAATAAATCCTCTCAAGGAATTTATAAAACTTTCAGCATTAGACAGCTGAAAGAAGGCAACATAGGTGGTACCATCCTTTTGCATAAATATAAGCTGTTGCCCCCCATGATTTACACGAAAGGAATTTAAATCCGAGAACAAAATTCTAACAATCCTTGTACGCCCAAAGGAATCTGGACCTTCTGACGAAGAACGGGTATGTCTGACATGAGTATCTACCAGAGACCATTCTGGATCTTGATCTTGATTTTCTAACACAACAGAGTCCTCTATAGGTTTCCATTCTATGCATTTTCCAAAACTCTGTAATTATGCCACAAAAGTGTTATGCATTGTTACGAATAGCAAATCATAATTTAAACCAAGCATACTTACATACTCAACAATATTTAACGTGCCTAGACTGTGAAATTCATCTTCCCTTGTACTTGCATTTCGTAATACCACTCCCGTATGAATGCACAGATCCTAATTAATAGTGAATTATGTAACATACACACGTGTATAAAATAAATCTAATTATTTAATATACGTTTCAATCTATAGAACCTATATTAAGAAATAACGAATAATACACTAAAGTAGGTTTCATAGTAATCACATAACCTCACTCATAATGTCATTGTCAAATCAAATAAAATTTAACGAAATTAAAGATGACAACATTGTATAATTGTTCTAAGGATAGAAACGAATGATATTTTACGAATAATATATCCGCATAAGATTCAATTCAATCTTATTGACGTACCACAACCAGTGCATGTGACTTGAATGTTTACGTCACTTATGAAATTGACAGAGCATACGTTCAAATTGTATTTTACAACATCGAAAATCGGGATCGGATCATCAACACAGGCACCACTAACTCATAAATGGTTCTTACCTTTCCCTGTTCTGTGGGTTCAAACATTTTATGTCTATTTCTGTTTAAATCAACAGCCTGAGAGAATTATGGCTGATTTCGACGCATTCCTTCTACTGTCCTATAACTTCACTTTCTTTCTTCCTCTATTTTATTGTCTTTGTTCACTCATGTAATCGTGTATCTGCGAGGTACCACCGTTTACGAGGATAACCGTGTCTCCCTAGCGTTATTTTGCTCGCAATAAACAAAAGAGATATTTCATCGTTAACTTTGATGTATCTCCGATAACCGAATACTGTAAAACATTTCGTAATAATTTAAATAACTCGTTGTAAATTACTCTCGTTGAATATAAACTTTACATGACGAACGCTGAAAGATCGCAACATACTACGTATGAGTAAGCGTTTAATCGCGACCTCTAGCATAAACGTAACTCTTTCTCTCTTACAGCTGTTCATTCATTTCAGCGTTATACCTCGTACAAACAACACGAAGCCGCAACAAGTCGAATATTACATTTATATTAGTAAAATAAATTTCGAATCTATATAACATTTAGTTCATACCTTTCATAGAATAGTAAATTTTATTTTCCGATTATAAAATAAAAATGATCATAGGATAGCTTTTACGAAAGAATTCATTCTTGATAATAATTTCAGATTACCTTGAAGACACCTGTAAAATTGCCATCTTTAATACATACTTGCGTAGTTTTTCCACGTCAATCGTTTCATTGGAAGGAAATATCACTGAAAGAAAGACCACCTATTCTGTACACTCATCGATTAAATTTCTTAATGACATTAGTCATTACCTTTACCTTGTGCTAAGCACGTTAATCAAAGTAAGAAAACATTAATGAAAAGGAGCACGAAACAAGTTACTTTCTATCCAAAAAAAAAAAAAAAAAAAAAAAAAAAAAAAAAAAAAAAAAAAGGAAATTATTTTGACCATGTTTAATATTACAAATTTTTCTATAGGATTTTCTAAACTGTACATCTACATCCTTGTAATACTTTTTTGGAACACCATAGAATAATATTTCTATGATATTTATCGTTACAAAAAGGTTGAAATTGTAATCAACTCCTTTGTGTTACAGCCTTTGTTACACATGTCCTGTGATTGCGAGATGCAAACGTCATTCTGATCTGGCATGCATTAATAAAATACAGTTATTCGTTACTCATCCATAAATGACACGTATGAATATACGTATATAATATTTTTAACACAGTGACTATAAATAGTTTATACTTTGTTGCCTATCGTGCTTTAATACGTGCATAACGTTAAAAAGGTAAATTAAATTAATTTTGCTTCGCCTTCGGTCGAAATTTTTAGTAATTTCAATACAATATCAAGAAGTATTTAATCCAGAATACTTCGAGATAAGTTACGATCTATCTATGAACGGATTTGAATGAAATCAGTCTAAAGACAAAGTCGATATTCCGTTCCTTTGTTCTAATGCATTTAGTGTCGAGGAGGATATTCGCCTTTCGCGATGCAGACATCAAACCAAGTGCAGCTGCACCGAACATCATGGCCTGAACAACATACTACGTAATGGGAATAACAAAACTGGATCACGATATATCGGTACGAGCAATTTTTAATCGAACTGATTATAAAAATGGTCGTTGCAAGATCACAAACACGTGGTAAACTCTTTTGTAATTAGTCGTTTTAAAATCGAGCTTCAATCTTCATGGCAAAGTACACACTTGCAGATTGTTTTTCGATATTACTTCGAGATTAGCGAATTGCGTGACTTCGAATGTTGAAAATAATTCGATTAATTTCCAGCTGCAGCGAAATTGTATCAAAATACAGAGATGTGCTATCGTAACCCAAGCCCCGTGAAATGCGAGGAGTCGAAATTGTCTTCGTCGGGTATTTACTCATAAATCTTAAGTTTCTAGAGATGGTCGTAACAAAAAGTAGTACAAAGTTCACTGCTAGCCAAAGGATAACAAAGGATAAGACACTTTCGTGGTAGAAAGTAATCGAGTGGTAAAAATGATGTCAGGTATCGTTCTGACATTTATAACGAAAATTTGAGTCGAGGTGAATCAAGATCGCCAAAATGTAGACACGGCTACAATTTGTGTGCATGTGCATCGATCCACGAGTTACAAAATTTACATCAATGTACAAAACATAGTGCAAAATTTCGAAATGTCTGCGCGAAATTGTTATTCCGCGTTACTTCGTCTCGCTTCATCTGAAATACACACGCTTGTTCAATGTTTAACGATATTTCGGAATAGTGTCTTCTCTCGAAATAGAGTACCAAAGATTACGCAAAAATTGGCTTCTAGGAGCACCCCTCCCCCGATTGCTGCCGAATCGTTTCTGTATACAAACGGTATTAATTAAAAATAGGTCGACGCAAGTTCTGCCACGTGTTTGCTGATCATACGACATGGAATATTTAATAATTTAATTTATGACATAGACATTTATCACATCGGCATAAATATGTTGTTCGATATAGTGCACGCGTACCGTACATACGTATGCAATACTAGTTTCCGCTCAAATAAGGCGGAAATGTGATTAAATGTTACAAAAAAATTGTACCCTCGAACTTTGATCGTAACTATTGTAAATGATAAGAATACTATTAAGAAGAGAAGAACAAACTTAATATTTCTTTAAAATTCGCTTTTTCACGCATTTCTTTTATGCAATTCGTATGCATCGATGTTACCTTGGTCAAGGATTTATCATTTTAAGAAGCATTTAGATGTATTCCTCTCGAGGAAGAAATTATTGACTGTTTCAGTGATTTATACTTTGCCTGGAAATTACGCGTACAAGTATACCTATGTCATTCGATGATTTTTCAAAGGATTTGGAGACGTTTGAAACAATTTCTTTAGGAAAATATTCGTATACTTGACCCTCATCGAAGAATCAAAATCCATCGAACTTACCTTGTACATTCCTATTGTCATTCATACCGTTCTTGGCCCGTTCTTGTTTATGTTAACTTGGCTAAATGAAAGACAATCTATCATTTGAATTCCATCGGCACTCAATGCAAAAATCTGTACGATTCAGCGAACGACTGCTTCGAAAATATCCTTGTATCAACAGAACGCGTATATATATATATATGTACAGCACGGATTTATGATATTTCGATTATTCTCTTGGTTACGTTATCATACTACTGAGAATGAAATTGTAACCGTGCAGAGCTAAATTCTGATAAAAATTTGTACAATTTAGACAGTCATGTTGGCTTTCATTAGACAGATACCAAAATGTTGATAATGGCAACTATTGGTCCCGATCTTTTCCTGATAAAAATCCATTGAAATTAAAGAAAGATTACGTACAGAGATTCGCGATATACGTATCTTCTAATCGTGGCATCCAAAGTCGCTTGAAGTGTACCTAGAAATGCATGAAGATAGCACTCGAGTTAGAGCCGAAGTTAAACTTCGATTTTCATTCACGAGTACAGTTGCTCTCGCCGCGATAGGCTGGGTGCATTACCTATCTCTTTCTTTGCACTCACGATGAGTCAAGCGCGTTTCATTCGTGCAGATGTACCGGGATACGGGTACATTTGCACCGAACATCAAGCTAGTGCTAGAGTATCGACCCACAGCATGTGGTAACTCATTCTCCCTTCTTCGTTGCTCGCCTCTTTCTTGCTTCCTCTTGAACGTCGCGCCTCGTTCACCTATTCCCCGTCTCGATTCTTCTAATATAATTCGCTCCTTTCTCTTTCCTTGTATTGCCCCTTCTCTTTTGCGCGCCACGAAATATAGATTTCATCGAGGTTGAAATTTACGGAACCGTCCACGGGAATTTCAACCCTATGACGACGGAGCACATTGTTGTGCATGCGCGAAGAAATGCAGGAACGTGCTACCTCGTCGGTACGCCCCAGCTCTACGGCCGAACTTTCAAAACTCCTACATAACTTCGGGACGCGCGCACCCGGGACTCTGTCTATTGTTTCTCGTGCAAATCGCGGAACTAACTCTCGAGAAGAGATGATGCTTGGCCTTCGACCCATATCGTGTATCATGCACGCAAATTATACACAGATATTCCATCGTTTCGTTTATTCCTATCATTACACCGAGTTGTTCCGTGTGCGAAAAATAGCGGTGGCAGAATTTCATAGTCATCGGTTTTTCCCTCTTCGAGAGCCTGCCGCACCCTTACGTAAGGTCTTTTCAACCAACTTACCGCGAAACAGAGATTAAAGTGTTATTATTCGAATCGATAATATCGAAGTAGGTTCATTAATAAACAAGCCTCCCGAGACTCGGTCTGTACTTACGTTCGATCGTTTATTCCCATTACATTTGCCTTTCTCGCGAAATTACGAGTGATTAGGAGTTCGTTGTTGCGCAAGGTCAGGCACAAAGGCAGAAAAGAGGCTGAAAGGAAGTCGAAATATTTCCATATGGTGTTTATCTTCGTCGGAGGTAATTGCAAAGAGAAGAAAATATCCTGAGTCATCGGTAATGAAAGGATAACGCAAAGCGTAGCGCGGTTGGTTTGATCGCGTGATTCGCACTCGAAGACCATTCGAAACCGAGAAACCGAGGAAACAAGTAAGTGGGAGAGGGCACCGATGATTGTAGTCGTCCCTGGTTTCGAGTCGGCAGCTCAGTTCATTTGGTTGGTAGAGGCGAACGGTGGTGCATAGCTCGACAGCTGATTCTGGACTGTGTTGCGTCGTCCGATCGTTTCTCTCCACTGTCAGTCGTAGTTGACACCGCGGATCGGTTAGCTGCTTCGCGATTCGATTCTCGCTTATGCGGGTACGTACAACAGAGCCAATCGCGATCCTACGAAGTACTTCCCTCGAAAACGAATGCAGCCTCGCGATTCCGAATACTTCTCATCGATCATTGGGAAAGCGAAGACGAGGATTAAAGGCGCATCGTAACGTTTCACCACGGCCTACCGAACTGCTTCTCCCTTTATTGTGATTATTGTGGCCACTATTTTCTTATAAACGCGACCGTTGTGCATGGTGGAGGAGCGAGCGAAGAAAGGGCGGAGAGGCCAAGGATGCATAGCGTCATCATTAGGGTATGATTTCGGACGCTGTTAGGATTCCTAAATTTACCTTCGACCGATGGTGAGTTTAGTCTATTTATAATTATTTTACAAGCTTTTCACGCTTTCTCCCTATATTTGCACGAATTTCCAACTCGGCTACCTTCGCGCAGTCCTCTTATTCTACTTCCACGACTAACCACCCTCCTTTGTCTGCTACAACCGCTGTCTGTTTTCTTCTTTCTTCTTGCCCTTCCGTTTATATTTCATCGCAATCGAAAATGCCAATTTTTTTCCCCTAATATAACGGTAGAAGTAGAAAGTCAGCGATTCCTGTGCCGAAGGTACGGAAGTTTGCAATGATAAAAACCGTGAAACATTTTCTTTCCATATTACACCCGATGACCCACTTATTTTCACAGTCTTTTTCAATGTTTCGTCCACCTGTGGTTGTCGTTGAAACACATGTTCGTCGTACCTAGAACGGCCTTTGTAAAACTTTATAATCATATACGTACGTGGTTAGTATAGCTAGCGTGATACTGCTTAAAGCGAACTGAAACAAAGGACAACCTTAATTTCACGTACACTTATGTAAATCATCGATTATATTTTATATTACCGTATAACGAGGAAAAATAACGACATTCGCTCGAATCTTGGCACGGCACTCGACGCGTTCAATGCAGGATTTCGAATTTTCCTCTGTTCAACGTTATTCGATTTAAAGGTGCCTCGGTCTCGCTTACGTCCGTCAAGTTATCCGGAAATTCCAGTAGAATGAAAATTTGAGGGCGCAAGGATGCAGCGAACGTATCGCACTCGATGTTTTAACCTTTTAACAAGCACACTTGATCGTAATAACTTTACGTATCACGTGTGTCTATCGGGATATTTGTTCGAATTGGAACATGCCCGCGATTCTCTCGGAATCGTTTAAACACCCGACGAGCAGCACGATGCCGAGATGTAATGGACATTGACCCTGCACGATCACGACCGATTTATGCGTAAGAGTTTAGTACCATAATGCGTCTGCCAGTTTCTTGGACGAGTGACAAAAATATCGCATGATCCTTGACCATCCGAACGAGTATTTGTAGCGATCGTGGCCCGATTGATCGTTAGCAACAGATAGCGTGCCCTACAACTTGTTCATTTTCTCGTTCGAAATCGCAGATATCTCGTCGAAACGATCTGTGTCCGTGGTAATTTACCGATTCATCGAACGCGCCGATCGATCGATCGATCGATCGATTATCGATTAAAATCCGCTCGGTAGCCTGCGGTGAGCGCCTCAGCAATCGGAACATCTGTATGTATTTTTCTTAGAACGCGCATTTATATTTCGAACCACGTGTTTTAAAATGAACCGCCATTTTTCGCGCGTGTTTGCATCCGAAAGCCGCGGTTATCTCCCTCGTTGTATCTAAAATAAGTCTAAAGTTCTTCTATCGGATAGACACAAGAATGTATTCGATTATCGCGCTTTCGATCGGTAATATGCCTTGTTATAACACTGCTCGATAATTGTAAGTCCCTTATCGTATCGCTTAAAAGTAACACGTGTGTCTGAAAATTCTTCTTTCTATCGTAACTAAGTTTAAAAGAGACGACGAATGATTCTCGTCCCTTCGAAGACGTAAAATCATCCGTCCGAATTTGATATTTAATTCGTGGTCGATCGGTTGAAACAGACCCTGTTCGCCTCTCAGCGATAGGACAGATGATGTCAGAACTTCTCGTAGTTTAGTTAATGCATGACAATAAAATCTGAAAGGAGGAAAAATGCGGCTCCATCGGCAAAAAGGAGAAAGCTCTTTGTACTCGAACTCGTTTTGACTGTTTCAAAGTCCTTGCTTTAAATGCGCGTGATTCATGGATGTTATCCCGAGAATATTTTTCAGGAACCGCAATGAAATTCTCCTCGCGTTCTTTTACACTCGTCCGAACGGAAATGTCGATAATCGTCGGACACAGGAATCGTTGCGAAATAATTGAAAATGTTACGTGTAAATAAAAATTCTATGGGTCATCGTCGTACGAGACTTATAACAAAGAATAAGTTGAACGCACCATCTTTTCACGACTGAATAATTTAACCACTCGATCAATTTTTCGTAGTAAGCTAACGCTGGAAATGCTTTCCAATCGTTTCGCGTGGCAAAGAAAATTTTGATCGAAACACCTTTTACAGCGAACCGACGTTTAATTGGCCAATTTATGGTTTCAGCATCAACAGATGATGGCGGATTTAAAGAATCTCGCTTTGACCGGTGGAGGAGGATCTAGGTACAGTGGAGATGAACAGGTACAGTTCATTCCTGGCGGAAGTCATCAGGTGACAATTAAATCTCCTCCACCCTCTCTGCATTTGGAAAATCTCAACAATGCTGTTCTCAGGTACGCGATACAATACGATACAACATACGCCAATAGTAAAGGTGTCACTTAAAACACACGTTTCCAAGCAGAAATTTTTAGCGCAATTTGGATCTCGGACCACTTCGATTTACGTACCTAACGAGGAGCGTTATATCGAGGGATAACGCGAAACGATGATATACAGTATGGATCGTTTTATACCGGCTTTCCAAGACGAGAAAAATTGCCTTTTAATCGATCGAACGTATCCGATAATCCTTAATCGATGGGGTACTTTCCAGAGTTATAACGTAAATAAGACAAGACAGTAGAGTCGGTATTGACGTTTGAATCACGACGATGGAAAAATTTGCCCTTTTATTCGACTCTTTCGTATGTTCTTTGATCGGACAGTCCTCGTTTCAGTAATCCTTAAAGAAACCTCAAAGAAAGATCTATACGTACATACGTTTGCAACTGTCTGCAGTTTCATTCAAGATTAAGTGCTATCGCAAACCGGTATTCATTTCGAATGTAGTTCAATCAACCTTTGTTCATTTTTAAAGCCAAATATTCCTGTATTCCGTGCATGTTATACCTATATTCAGCAACGATTTTCGAACGGATGATAATAACGAAAGCACAATCGGTAGATTTAGTAAACATTCGGACATTTCTATTGTCGTGACTTTTATCTCGCTTTTCCATTCACATAAACGAAACAGGAATCCTGCAAGATATGTCGTACTATTGGCAATGAATAACAGAGTCCGCGAGTTCACCGAGTGAACATCGAACACGCGAACTAATATATCCGAAATACGTCTAAAACGGATCCCAAGGTCTTCCCATTGATCGCGTTAAGACTCTCGCAAAGCTTCCCGCCGATTGTGTCCGTTGTACACGATTCGCCCTTCGCGAGAGTGAAATTGCGGCAAATTTTTAAACTAAGGTTAGACGTTTAGATCACGTGCGAAAGGTACTAGTGCGTTTGATTTTTTCAGGTGGTCCTTTGCAAAAATATACGTTACATTCGAATTAAACGATGCGAAAGTAAAAATAAGCAAAGCTCCACGAAGTCTGATTGCCGGTAATTATATTTAATGTATATTCATAAATACGCGACAGCGAGACGTTTGCAAAAATTTGGTAACCGTGTATACGATCGCGATATCGATTAATCCTTATTTTCACTGAAACCGTAAAACTAGTACTAAATGGCAGATTAAATTACAAACACGACGAACCTGGTATGCTTAACTCGCATGGCTTCCGAAATTCGTTTTAAACCAACGCAAGCCATATTCGGCAAAGAATGAACTTTGACCAAACCAACGAATTCTTCTTATGATTTTTGCTCGTAACTGTGAATCAAACGAATAAATTAATCTTTCAACTAATCCATTTTTAACTGACAGTGAGACTAATATTTTGAAACCTGGCATGGAATCTCAATGGATAAGAAATAGAAAAAAAGAAAGTAAAAGTTGGAAATTCATAAGAATTCATAAAAAAATATACAACTAGGTTGAACGGTTATTTACTACTTTGACTTAAATATCGCTTTCGTGGAAACGAGAACCGACAATTGTCTAATTCGCAGAAGCGAGATATCCATTCCTCGAGGCATTCCAAGTGACTAATTATTTCTGAAATGTTTCAAATAAGAACATTCCCCTGAAATGGCATAACATTTTTTCCTTTGTATTTCAGTGGCTCACAAAATAATCTCCACTGCAATTGCAACGGTAGTACGTCGAATGGTACCGCAGTTGCAATGTCTAGCAGTAGCATGTTCGTGAGAAAAGTACCAAACCATAGCCCAGGACAGGATGGTAAAAGGCCGGCAGTAACATTGACGCATTTACCGAAGAGGCCACCGGTTGACGTTGAGTTCAAGAACCTAGCGTACAGCGTGTCCGAAGGCAGAAAGAGAGGTTGGTCTTCGAAAGAACGACACGTTACGTGGAAACATAACGAACAAGAACGATACGTATATTTGTGCATGAAAGCACATTCGGTAGGCATTTTGTTCAACCTTGTTCAACAAGCGCATAGCCGAAAGAATCGATAGAGATGTACACAGAGTGTTTCGCTTCCTGTTTCGGTCCAGATGCACCTTGGAGGTGCAGCTGCACTCTCTAAAGTAAAGAGGTCGACCAGAGAATTCAACTACATTTTCGTGAAACCTGCCGTTTAATCAAATTCTTATGCATTATATTTCCAAACGTTATAAACTTGGCAAGACCGCGGACACGATTAAGTAAATCGCAAATCTGTCGTACGAATGGGAACTAGCGAATCACGAAAAGAAAAATGAAACAAACACACGAAAACAGAGAATGATTTTAAATTTTTTATGCTTCGTACATTTTACGTTGCAGGATACAAAACAATTTTAAAATGTGTAAACGGAAAATTTCGATCCGGAGAACTGACTGCCATCATGGGCCCTTCAGGCGCCGGGAAAAGTACACTTATGAATGTTTTAGCAGGTTACAAGTGAGTTATGTTTTCAAACGATTTATACTGTACGAGCGTAAAACGAAATAAATGAAATGATCGCGATACCTTATATTTTCAGAACATCCCACCTGAGCGGTTCTGTTCTGATAAACGGAAAAGACAGGAATCTCAGGAGATTTCGAAAGATGTCCTGCTACATAATGCAAGACGACCGTCTGCTACCTCATCTAACTGTTTATGAGACAATGACGGTTTCAGCCAATTTGAAATTAGGCAAGGACATCAGCAAGAGGGAAAAGAAAATAGTGGTAGGTAACAAGCGAATCCCTTTTTAAACGAGTAAAACACCGAAGAAAATTATATTTAATACAGATCGAAGAAATCATCGAAACGCTCGGCCTAAGTGACGCGAGCAATACACAAACTCACTGCCTTAGCGGAGGTCAGAGAAAGAGATTATCGATCGCACTGGAGCTCGTTAACAATCCTCCGGTGATGTTTTTTGACGAACCAACTTCTGGGTTGGACAGTTCGACTTGTTACCAATGTTTAAGTTTGCTCAAATCGTTAAGTAGAGGAGGTAATTACGATGACGAATCCCTTAGCTAACTATCGCTATCTAGTAATACTATCTGCTATTTTGCAAATATTGTTTCTATTTCGGCCACATTTTAGGAAGGACTATTATATGTACGATACATCAACCAAGCGCACGATTGTTTGAAATGTTCGATCATTTGTACCTTTTAGCCGAGGGCCAGTGTATATATCAAGGAAACGTTGGGGGCCTGGTGCCCTTTTTATCGTCAATGGGTTTAGAATGTCCCGGTTATCATAATCCAGCTGATTACGGTAAGTAAAAATGACATTAAGAGTTGTAATGATTTTAAAATTTCATTGGAAGAGATTAAAAAGGAGAAAAAATATGTCTTTGTTTAGTTATGGAAGTCGCATGTGGAGAGCACGGAGAATGCGTGCATAAATTAGTCATGGCAGTAAATAACGGTAAATGTGCTAATTACCAGCATCATCAAGCTGCAATAAATGCGGTGCAAACTGTATCGAATGACATCGCGAAAGAATCACCGCAGCAGGAGACAAAGTCTGAATCTGCTTTGATACCAAATGGCGTGGCAAAGCAACCGAATGGGGGAACAGTAATCAACATACCAATTTCTTGCACGACTTCATTGTTGGACAGTGCAGAAAGTATAGAACAGAAAGTTGGTTTTCCAACGAATAGTTGTACCCAATTTTGGATCCTTCTTAAAAGGATATTTTTGTCACAGATAAGAGACATGGTTAGTACATTTATATGCAGTCTTATTCTATAATAATGTTTATGGTTTGCTCAACGACATTTTGTTATCGTAGACATTAACGAGAGTAAGGCTGATTTCCCATATAATCGTTGGGTTTCTCATTGGCGCAATTTATTACGACATCGGCAATGATGCCTCGCAAGTAATGAGTAATGCCGGCTGCGTTTTCTTTACGGTGATGTTTCTCATGTTCACCGCTATGATGCCTACCATTCTTACGTGTAAGTGAATCGAAGATAAATAATTAATTCTTATTACCTATATCTTTTGTTTCTATATGTAACAATAACATTCTTTTCTTCTTTTTCTATATAGTTCCGACAGAAATGGCTGTGTTCGTGAGAGAACATTTAAATTACTGGTATTCTGTAAAAGCTTATTATATCGCGAGAACTTTAGCCGATGTACCCTTCCAAGTGAGTAAAATATTTTCAATCAAAGTACATATAATTTTGATATTCACTCATTTCGTTTAATACATTTATCGTCTTCGTTGCAGATAGTGTATTCTATAGCATACGTCATTATTGTATATTTCATGACGTCGCAACCATTGGAAACAAATAGATTCATGATGTATTTAACTATATGTATATTAACAGCATTAGTTTCTCAATCCATTGGTTTAGTAATAGGAGCAGCGATGAGCGTAGAGGTAATAGTTTATTTGTATACCATGTTGTCGATGTTTTATTATTGTATTTCAAACCTTAATAAAAGAAAATTCTTCTTTCAGAGTGGAGTATTCATTGGCCCTGTGTCGTCAGTGCCAATTGTTCTCTTCTCTGGTTTCTTCGTCAATTTTGATGCCATTCCAAAGTATCTGAAGTTTCTTTCATACGTGAGTTACGTCAGATACAGTTTCGAAGGCGCCATGATTTCTGTGTATGGTTATAATCGTGCTAAGCTCAAGTGTTCCGAAGCGTACTGCCACTTCAAGAGCCCGACGAAGTTCCTCGAAGAAATGTCAATGCAGAACGCAGTCTTCTGGTTAGACGCCGTTGCATTGACAGGTTTTCTGCTTACATTGAGGGTGATCGCCTACTTTGTATTGAGACTGAAGTTACGATCTCTTCGTTAAAACATACAGTGGCCGAATATAATTGATAATTATTATTAGGTCATCGTATCACGGATATTCATCTCATTTCCACTCAAACGTTTAGTCGATGAGTTTTCGAAAATCCGCGATTACGATTCTAAATTTCGATCTTTACTCTGCCGAAAATAGAAATGCCCGGACATTTCAGTATTGGAATTACAGAACAGACATGTATTAAAGTGACGCAGTGAAATATTTTAATCTTTGTTTGTTGTCAACTACTAGGATCTTTTTTACACTTGAGCTCATCTCATATATGTATTGTGTTGAGACTATTGGTGTTTTATCTCTGTGCTTGAGATAAAACCACAAAATCGCCTTTAGGACGTTCTATTCCGGATGTACAGTGCTTCGTTGAATCGAATTTTTCGAAAATATCGAAGTTTAAGAAGCCCGCATTCACGACAATGCGTTCCGAATATCAATTGCAATTAACGTAATTTTCGCCATGTAAATATAGGTTACAAAAACGAAACATTTGACATTTATATCTCACCGTAACTCGATAAGATACGTATCTTAAATGTTGTTTTTTACAACATCAAACGAGAATAACAATAGTAGACACGTACAAATGATACGCATAGAACGTTTAGGTATTTCTAATAAACTAGAGGAGTATGCAAGAATTACATTGGAATTGTAAATCATTGATAAAAGACCGAAAAGAGACCGCGGTTGCTACTACGCATTCAGATGAAATGCAAACATTTATAGCCAATTATTACAAACTCGCCAGGAGCCTTAGGCCCATTCAAGACTCATGGTCCCTCCAACGAGCGCGTGTGCACCACGCGAACAGTATAGACTTTTTTTAATAGATAAGCAATAGAATTTACAAATCAAATATTAGAATGGATCCTTTATTGTTCTCATATTTACATCGATCGCTACGTTCATTTAGTCTACGAAAGATATCTCGAAGATATAGCAACGAATCATAAACGACCAATAATCGTTTAAAATATCGGACAAAAACAGATTTTAGCCGACACACTGCAGCACCAAAAATTAATTTACATGTAAACTTAAGTCCGATACTTATATATACATATATACACATATATATATAAGTATCGGCGAGATATCCGAATATTTGTACTAAATGGTTTCTTACGAGATCGCGTGCAATCCTTACCCATATTGTCATTCCATTTATAGATAATTCAATAACTATAATGTTTAAGCGATGAAGAAAAAAATGATAAAACATATATTGTAAAAAGCTCACACCTGACCAATCACTAGCTGCCTGTGCGTTTGCTTCTAAGTCTGGAGTGCTGAACATTGTTACATTTATTACGATATAGACATTTAATTAGAGGGGTGACGGGAGTATATTATTAAAAAAAAAAAAAAAGACAAAGTAAAAAAGAAGAAAACCAAAATAGGCATGCGAGAGTGACAAATTTAACAAGATTATTCTGGTTTTGGAAACTTTTACAGAAATTTCTTTCACGGCCTATGCATTGTTCTTATCGCTGCGGGTTCATTTACTCAACGACTAAAAAAGGAAATAAGGAAAAAAAAAACAAAAGGTTTATAAACTTTTCGTTTGATTTACAATTAGATCTCATGTCATAGTTGCGTTTCGTAATAGTTGTAAATACGGCCGAAGACAGAATAATCTATTTGTTACACTTATTTAATATTGTCATGCTTGTGTTCAACTGTTTTGAATTTTGAGCAGTAGCAATATAAGTTAAAGAATTATCAGATAAATATTTTTATATTTCAGTTTCTGTCTTTGAGTTGAAAGTAAACTATTATCGTTCTCTTTGATGTTGCGTTATTCTTATTTTCTCTTAACGTTAGAGTCAGATTATATTCAAACTGTATACCAATGTATATTTATTATCTTCATTATGATTGCAACGTAAATCAATGACTGTACTTATCGCAGGTGTTTCGAATCCTTAGTATTTTATAGGATATCACGTTACTTAATCAACTGATCTTTAATTTGACATGTATAGATATAGCTCTACTTATTTAAATTTAGGTATTAATGCAATCGGACGAGTTTCGAGACAAATATGAAATTATGACTTTTAATCTGTGGATAATTTATGCTTTGCATACAATTGGAAAATTAGGCGGAAAAAAAAAAAATGTAATAAAAAATGTACTAAATTATGAATCATAGAATGAGGTTAGAGGGAAAGGTAGGACAAAAATTTCCATATTTTTAGATTCGCTGTATGATTATCACTTATATTTTTACTTATTGCTATATGTAAGTAAGCAAATTGATGGAATATGTAGCCAAGAACAACGACGCACTGCATTAGACGTGCGAATATTTTGTTCTCATTTCATTTTTACCATTGTAAAGCAAGTAATAGTAAATATCATACTGTAATCAAATCGTCTTAACCTTAAATTTGGATGTCGTATGATAATTTTTATTTCATTCCGAATGCGTTCTAACAATAATAATAATAACTTGGAATGTCTGTGATTCAGTATCGACAAACAATTGTTTGGCATACAACATAAAATTCTATGAAATATATAAGATGATATAAAGATAGGCATTAATGGAAACGGGGTAACAGGACATTGATATTGAGTAGATACTATAAGAATGTAACAGTTATTCGTTAACCGTATACAGGAAAACAATCATTTAGCTGTTTAGACCTTGGTTCGCATCTGTCGCATGATGAAAGTGAGATTTATGAAATCTGAAACGAAGTGTCTCCATTCAATCCTATTGTACTATAGTTGCCTCTATATTCTTAATAGTTTTGCTCATAAAAATAATACATAGATGTACACCGTACGTATAGAACCAAGGTTTAAACATAAAACCGTTACGGTCACGTGAAACTGAATACAATTCCCATTCTTTTATCGATCATTTACATTGTCAATTTGTTGTTTCGTAGTGTCTCATGAATTTTTCATTATTTCTCTATAATGCTGCGTAATCACTCTCAATTCGTAATTGAGAATTATTGACAAATGCAAAAGAGCAGTAAAGAATTAGGTTTGATCACGAATCCGCGCGTATTGTGTTCAAGGCTTGCGAGAACTGAGACTGTAATAACGAACAAGCAAATTTTTCATTGCATGTGACCATCTTGCGAGCAGAATTCTTAAACTGCTAAAGAATTCAAATAACATAATATCACGTTTGCATATAGATGCGCAGCATAGAAGAATTGATTAAGACATTTTCGCTTTTAGGACACATACTCCACATGTACAATGTACAATGTATATTGTCCGACCATATAATATCGCATACGATTCATGACACTTTTTTCAAGTATTGTAATTTTATATAAACAAAAAGGTATACGTGTGTAAGGCTGTGCGTTTGTGTGTGCGAACATTGGAAATAAATTGCGATATGTGTGAAAGAGGCAGAATAAAGGGAAATTAACGACATAAACAAGCGGGAAAGAAAATTCCTTGTGAAACAAATTTTCAAACATATTTCGTGTTCTAAACAAGGAATGACACGTTTATACTAAAGCACAAATAAATAAAAGCATCTGTATAATGTGTAAAAACACAACTGAATTTTATTGTACTCGATATCAATACTTTACACGAGTTGTACTTGAAATGTAAGATTCGAAGTTGTAACCGAATTCGTCAGAAGCACGTGGTGCATAAGCGACCAATCTAATGGAGGAATAGTTATTTTAAGCTTGCTTTTAGCAATGCTGCCAAAGTAAAGCGTCTTTAAGTTTTTCATTTCTTGCAATATAAAATTATATTGTTATAAAATACGGTAAATTATTTTGTTACAACGTCTCAAAGTTTGTAAGGTTAATTTTTTTCCTAAATTGCTTTTCCTACGTTTCTTTCTATCTAACATTTCAAAATTTTTTGAGATATATTTTAGAATCCTATTAGGAATTGTGCAATTAAGTTGGTAAGAAATTGAGTGCAGTTTATAGAATTCGTTGGAAGTATCGCAATCAATTGTGTAATAGCGCGATTAAGTTAAGAAATTTGAAAATTGTAAAACATGGAGAAACCTATAGTTCGTGCAAGGGTAGTGAAGGTCCTCGGTAGAACGGGTTCCCAAGGACAATGCACGCAAGTCAAAGTGGAGTTTTTAAACGAACAAAATAGGCAGCTAATTCGAAACGTGAAGGGCCCTGTACGAGAAGGGGACATTCTAACGCTCTTAGAGTCCGAAAGAGAAGCCAGACGGCTTCGTTAGCACAATTGAGGGTCGAACTGCTTCCCCGAAAACGGAACAAAAGATATACCAATCCCTTGCAGGTATTCATACCTATCCCCTTTTATACCTAGTACCTTTAAGAGGGATCTGAAATAACGTCTCTACGTTTTCTTTAAACGACTAAAGTTCATATTGGAAAAAATAAATCGTTAACCGAATGTTCATTTCTTAGGTATTACGAACAAAAGCCTATTGATATTTGTTTCAAAACCAGCAATAAAAATTTTTTTTATTTTATATATCTTTATTTTTCACAAAAAACTACATTCTTGCATATCATTGCTGCAAACGGCATGTAAGTATTGTCTTTGCACGAGTGTAATAAAAATATATTCCTAAATAAAAGTTAACATACAAAAATTTGAAACATGTATTGTATTTATTATTATTTCTGACGGAGAAACGTTTAATATAACGTACTTTGTTCTATTATATTCCGTTAATATTCCTTGACATTGGATAGGAATTTAGCCAGCAAAAAAAAAAAAAAAAAAAAAAAAACGAATTGGAAAA